GTGCAATTATTAATATTTTAATAATTTCATACAAAAAGATAATAGTAATTTAATTGGCAAATGTACACCTAATGATGCATTTATTAAAGTTTTAAAAAATTACAAATTTAACGAAAAGAGCAAAAGGCCCTGGACGTTGTTCTCCGGAACCATCATATCTACCATAGTATTCACCTCCACGGTCAGACCTGACAGCCTTAATTCTTTTATCGAGTTGATTCTCGACTTCAGCTTTAAATATTTTGAACATGTCCAGTGCCTCAGATTTCTCATGAATCAAATATAGGTACCCATATCTTGAGTAGTCATCTATGAATGATATAAAATAATGTTGACCATTCCAAGAAGCCTTAGGGAATGGACCACAAATATCCGTATGTATCAATTCTAAGACACTCGTAGTTCTTTTGGCACCTAATTTCTTTATTTTGGTATGTTTTCCTTTAATACACTCAACACAAACATCAAGGTCTGAAAAATCGAGTGTATCCAAAATACCGTTCGACACAAGTCTCTCAATTCTATCTTTCGAGGTATGACCTAAACGCTTGTGCCATAATTTAGCTGAATCATCTTTATTTAACTTTCGCTTAGTACCTCTACATTCGACATGAAGTGATTCAGTATATGATGCAATTGTATCAATCATATATAGATTGTCATAAGCACTTAATGAACCAGTACCAATAACGTTAGAGTTCAATGAAAGACTAAATTGACAATTTCCGAATGAACAAGAAAAACCAAATTTGTCCAATACAGAAATAGAAACCAAATTCCGTCTAAATGACGGTACAATAAAAGTGTCTTTCAAATCTAAAAAGAAACCAGTTCTTAATAACAATCTAAAATGCCCTATTGCCTCCACTTGTACCGATTTTCAATCACCCACAAAGATGTATCTTTCACCATCAGTTGGTTTTCGGCAGCTCAGGCAACCCTGCATTGAAACACTTATGTGAGTAGTAGCACCAGAATCTAACCACCATGTGTTTCGTGATACAGAAGCTAAATTAACTTCAGAACAGACCATATTAAGGAATGTACCTTTTTTAACACGCCAAGCGTGATACTTAGCACAATCCTTCTTTGCATGTCCTGGTTTTCCACAAAAGTAACAACCAGATGAATTTTCACGTTTCTGTTTCTTTTGTGTTGGAACCTTATCCTTAGCAGCTTGTTCTACCCTTTTTCTTTTGCCTTTATCTTTGAAATTACTAGCTAGTTGAACAACCTCAACTCTTTCTTGCTTCAACCTTTCTTCCTCTTGCACACAATAAGAAATGAGCTCATTCAGAGTCCACTTCTCCCTTTGACAGTTATAACTGACTTTAAACTGACTGAATTGTGCGGGAAGTGATAACAACACCAAATGAACGAGTAAGTCCTCAGACACCTCGAGCTTTAGTGCTCCTAATTTTGAAGCAACGTGAGACATCTGCATGATGTACTCCCTTATGTTTCCCTTGCCTTTGTACTTTAATGAGATCAAATTCGCTAAAAGCGTACTTGTCTCGGATTTTTAATTCTTTACAAAACGTTTCTCAATTTCGGCAAGGAACTCACTAGCATTAGTAATTTCCTCAGAAGCAGTGCCTCGAAAGGCTTCCGGAATGCCGCGCTTAATGATCATCAGACTAACGCGATTTGAGCGTTCCCACTTCTCAAAGTTCTGTCTTTCAATGACAGTACTTGCATCCGTCAGAGAAGGGGGTTGCTCAACCCTAAGCGCATAGTCAAGATCCATGCAGCCCAAAGTGATCAGAACATTTTCTTTCCAATCCTTGAAGTTTGACCCATTAAGCATGGGAATGTTGTTGGTGTTAGCAGGAATAGAAGTAGCAGACGACATAGCTGAACAGAGAATGACATTAAATTAATAAACATGCTCACATCAATCATACAAATTTAAATAAATTTGGCAATATCTCAAGGCACCTAACACAACATTAGTATCAAGTCTTTGGACAATAATATTAATTTGTAAGTGGTCGCCTTTGTGTAGTAATCAAATATTGACAAAATCCTGTCAAACAATAGCCTTTTTTTTGAAAAACATATTATTCACATGGATGTAACTATATATTGTCACACATTTACCACCACATGTATTTATATAACTCTGCCAAGTAATAATCTTCCTTTGGGCTGACTAAATACTCGCATGGAAAAATACAAATACAAACATCTAAAATTTTAACAAATAAATTTACACAAGAGAGGTCACTTTTGCAACTTCTTGTTTCAATAAACTTGTTTTTATATTTTTAGACAAACAAAAGGAACATGAGATCTACCAAAATATATTTAAAAGTAATGATTGAAACTTTTATATATGTGCAATCACTATCAAATACTTAATTGTACCAGCATATAACTAATAAGCACGGGTAGCAGGCTGGCAGTAACGCACATATAAGTCCAGCCTGACCCCAGCCCTGGGTTTGAAACCCGCTGGCAACAGATTCAATATTTTTTTTTTCTTTTTTTTAAATGGTCATCTTCAACCTGCAGCGGGTTAACCCGATCCGGTCCAAAACCCGCTAAAGATCAGCCCATAAACAGCCATAACCAAAAGCTTTATACGCGATTTTTACACCAAAAATTATGAAAAAATCACAAAAATTCACGAAATGAAGTATATACCAATAATATATATTCTTAAACATGATATTAGAAGAATTTAATATTATATGTTACCAAAAATTGAAGATTTCAAGTTTCATCTTGAATCAAACTACTTGCAATTAAATTCATATAGTTTCAAATCCTAATAATAACAATTGTAAATAATTGAAACTCAAAGAATTGCAAACATCATTCACACAGGAAACAAACGCGATAATGAAAAAAAATATGATTCTCAAAAATTCAACATGATTGCTTTGATACCAATTGTTGATATAAAATATATTTAATCCCAAAATCATTCATGTTCAATTATTGAAAATCAAACAAATAAAGGAGCGCAAGCGTACCTAATTATCTGTGAATTTTTTTTTTCTCTTCTCCTGGACTGGACTGGTTTTGTTATTGGACTGGTGAGAACTTCCAAACGATCGTACCTTACGGCAGATATATTTTGCAGATATATGTGTGTACTGATATTATGTATTTTTTTTTAACATACATATCCTTATGTTTGTATCTGTATATATATCTTTATACTGCAGTATGGTGCCTTTTAAGGGAAAAGACACCTATTCAAAATCTACCAATATTTACGTCGTTTGGGGCCACTACCAGGTAACTAAATCATTTTTTTAATTTTCAGTTCGGTCCCTCAACAAACCAAAAATTTCATAATGGTATCTACACTTTTAAATCCACAATAATTTGATACTCTCTTTATTCAAAATTCCAAATTAGTAGATCACTTTAACTGAATAATATTATGACAACTATACACATTTAATTTACATATGTTGTCTAATAAAATATCTCTAACATGATCATGTCGTATAAATATATAACTCCAAGATAAATAACAATATTTTAAAGTATATGATATTTAATAATATCTGTATTTGTTTAAAAAGTATGACGAATCGACCTGCTAAACTTTTACATGTTTGAACTAGTTCAAATTCAACGTTATACAGGAATTTGTGTTCGTCTATTTATTTCGTTTCAATATGGCTATACTATTAAAAGCGTTCAAATTCGAATCATTCAAAAATGAGGCACAACAAATCAAAAGGGACAATCCATCGTGAGAATTTCTCTATTCACAACACAGCACAAACTCAAGATTCAAGGTCATGACTGAAAAAAAAAAATATCATAAGTGAAGAAAAAGAACAAAGAACACAAAGGGCCCATCAACTGTATATAATGGCCCTTTTTGTGACACACGACTCACTACTACACTAGCTAGAGACCAACATTCCTCCACATCAATAACACGTGGCATTAACTACCACCAAACACAACAAAAATATCTCCTCAACCCATCTCTAGAACCTTCCAAGAAACTCCTCATTTTCTCTCCAATGTCCAATTGTTAGAACAACACAAATTGGACGCCAATTAGTTGATAATCAATCATCTTCATTTGGAGTATGTGTTAAAAATCTCCAATAATCTACACTCTAACCTCACATTCCACCGTCCTCGTCATCCTCCGAGACAATAAAATCCACATCACCATCCTCGTCATCACCGTCGGCATCCACCTCATCATCATCATCATCATCGGACGACAGGTGTACGAGCCAGCACGCGCCGTGCAGGTGCCCATTGAGGCACACAAAGTACTCGAGCTCGTCCTGTCCTGTCCCGAGCCTCCTGGCCGCGGCCCGTCTCGGGATGAGCCGAGCCGCAGTCATGCTCCACGCGCGGGCCCCACAATACGGACACCTCACACCTTCCTCGAATTCCACTCGCCTGGTGACCAAAAACTCCCGAGTCCTCGATTGCGCGAACGACCCGAAAACTCCCCGGTATACACCGAGATCCGGGCCGCCATCAGCCCCGCCCGGATGTTCACACGGGTCGCTCACGAAAAGCACATCCCCACGGCACCTCCGGGGAAGGAAGCTCTGGCCGGAGGTCTTGGAGAATCGGGCCGTCCCGACGAGGTNCCGGTGCGGGCTGGGCCGGGCGGAAGTGACGGGTCGGCCCGCAACCGCCGCAGAAGAAGAGGAGCTTGGCGAGTGCCGGCCAGCCGCCGGGGATCCGGGAGGCGGCCGGAGAGCCGCCGGTAAGGGAAGAGACGAGGCGCGGGGCCCGGTGGAGGCAGAGCCCCCGCCATAGGAGGCGTCTGGCGAGGGCCCGGAGGCGGCAGTTGACAGCGGCTGTCAGGCAGATTGTGTGGATGTCCCAGCCGAGCCGCTCGAAGACCAGCAAGAGGATACGCTCGTCGAGGATTCCGGGTTCAGCGAGCCGGGTCAGCTGGCCGGAGCTCGAATTTGGGTTTGAATAATGGTGGCTCATTTTTTTTATTTTTTTTAATGTTTCCTTTTTGTGTTTGTTTGTTTGAGATAGACATTTGTGAGCCATTCTTGAAGCGGTGCAGGAACAGGGGAATTTATAGGGAGGTGGGGTGAGGGGACACGTGGAGGGCGGAGAGGGAAGTTGGATAACTAACTCTTGGGGGAGAGGGGGGTACGTGGTGGGATTTGATTGGCCGGACAATTTGTGGGATTTGATTGGTTGATTTTGACAATCTTTTATTCGGGGTGAGTGCAAGTTAAGGTGCACCGGTCGGAAGGAGAGGGGTGACACGTGGTGGCCGCGCTTGAAAATATCTAGGGGGCGGATGGGACACGTGGCGGATGAGGGGAGGAAAGGCCGGGATAAATATCTTTGAGTGGTGCGTGCAGATAGTGCGGGACACGTGGGTGCGGGGAGAGAGCACCACGTATTGGTTTTTTTTGTTAGTTTTGAGGCTTTCGTTGACTGAATTTGGAATTTTTCTCATGTGTTGTCTTGTCGCGTGCGAGGACATCGGGATTTTACGAAGATAGTAATGATTTCTCGTGAAGTGATTTTTTTTTTCTTTCTTTTCGTAGTAGTAATCTGATATGAAGCACATGTGTAAGAGACGTGGCCGTTGGATTTTCTGCCGTCAGTTGTTCTTGTCGGAATATTTTGAGTTTCCAAGGCTCAATTGGTTGGTTTTTGTCATAAGTAGATCATATTTAGGGGAGATTATGTAGTCTCTCCTTACCGAACTATTTCGTGAGAATTTATAACCGTTAGATTAATTATCTACAACGATTACATAACGATCTAACGATTACAAATTCCAACGGAATAGTTTTGTAACGGAACTGTAACATTTTCCCATATTTATATCTAATTGGCGTTGATGGAGGATGTCTCTAGTGGATAACTATTTGCTACCTATTGATAGGTTAGCCTGTGAGTAGACGTGGCCAGGGTCGGCTTGGACCGCCGGGTCGATTCGGAATCGGCCTGGTCCCGGATCAAAACCGAACTATGAACGGGTCCTTAAACAGGACATGTGGTAATATCGGACTGGTTTCGAGTCTTGATTTTATTTATTTTTTTGAGCTCATCAGTACGAAATACGGGTTGACAATTTATTTATTTATTTTTCACTAAAAAAATAGTCGGCTCAATAAACAGTCAGTTCGGGTCGGTTCAGTACCGGTCCCTACATAAAACGGGCCGATTTTAGGCCCGAGTTTTGAGGCTCGGCGACCCTCTTGGTCGAGTCGGATCTTGAATCAGTCCGACAGTTAGCCATGTTTACTAGTGAGTTGAAGTCACGAAAATGGCAAGATGTAAGTGAGCAAAATCTAGCTTAAATAATAATAATAAAAAAAAAAGAATCAGATTCTGCAATTCAATGTGATTCGATTTCTTTTTATTATGTGAGAAAACAAGTTTGATTTCGATTCCATTTTTTTATACATTACGGTGTAATGTGATTATAGTTTTGCATAAGTTCGATTTTGCACCAAATATAATAAAATGTGTAAAAAAAATAAGATAAAATTCCAAATTGAGTCGAACCGTTCATTTTTTTTAAGTTGCGTTGTAGTTCGATTTTTTTTTTCTAAGTTCGAT